ACCTGGAGCTTTCTTTTATTTGAGATGGCACAATGAACGTCAGAAGGTGAAAAAGCTTTAGGAGGGAGGGATAATGGATAGGAGAGTGTAAATATTTCTCGATAACTGTTGTGAGTAAGTATGGTCTATGATGTTGGCATATGGGGTGAAAACTGTGGTCAGGTAAAAGGCAAAAACATTCGATTTCTCCTCGTCTGCCTGCCAACTGCCGTCGAATTGGCGAAGCGTGATAAATATTGTGTGATTGCGATTTGTTATCTGATATCACCAATTTTCGGACAATCGCATTGAGGTTAAATATGGTCAATTATTCCAAGGGAGTTTTCCCGTCCTAACGACACCGACCTCAAGGTCCCAGGTTATGGTTATTATTGACTCGTCAGCGGGATATAGGCGTATCGCGATAATTGTGAAGGCGTGGGTTTTGACAAACGCGAACAATAAGAGAGCAGCTGGCTCCGCCGGGGTTCCTTCATCAGGTGACGAGGGTCCGACTGTTTGACAACCGCATACACACCCGCCCAATATCATGGGCCCAATGTCAACACACAATGACACAATGCGCCATGAGACTTGTCACTTAACATAAGTTCGCTCCTCCCTTCCAGTTCATTGTTACACATCCTCGGAGATAGGAGGCCAAGAAGACTTGTAAAGACCCCGTGATATTATTTATTTTCAATTTTTTTTATAAGGCTTATACTGAAAAAACAAACCGCTTTCAGAATTCGTGGAAACTTCTGAAGAACGAGTACTGAATAGTTTATTGTAAGATTTCCTCTTGGGTTCTTCAGGGAGATTAATCTGCAGTATAATGTATATATGGTATACCCGCTTTGGGTCTGGGCACTCCAAAATGATCAGAAACGATCAAACTATAAAAAAGTTTATATCAACTCACTTTACAGACCGCTTAGATAACCACGTTTCTAAAAAAAGGGAAGTATGTTTTTCCATTTTTTGTCATTTTCCATTTTCGTAAAATAAAATGATATTGAATAAAGATAAGGGCGATATTACACACACAACTGGGTACAATAGTATTAAAAGTCGTGAGATCGGTCTGGTGTGACGTAGGTTTTAGAAAAACATTTTCTTTATCATGCCAACGTTTCGATCTTTACTGAGATCATCTTCAGGGCTCAAAGTGTTTGTTTTCCGTGTAGATGTGTCATTATTGGGTGTCGTGTTAAAGTACAGACCGCGTCCAAATAATCATTAACTAACCACTAAACACACATGTTTACAAATATAACAAAGATTGGACAATTAAAAATTATATGATAATAAAAATATTTTATCATCAAAACAACCGAAATAGATTTAATTTTGTTCCATCTTGCTTAGCTAACCCAGCGATCTAGGTTGTTGACAGCAAGAAACCAGTGGTTGGTGATCCAAATTGGTGACAATGTGGTTGCCGGGCTATGAATCTGTAATTTAACCGACCACTTCGATCTACTATCCAAGACTAAACGAACAAGGATAGGAAGGCCAAAATAATCGATTCCGACCAAATTACAACATCCTGTTTACACATCAATGTAATTAATGGAGGTTGATATTACGTCATAACCAGGGTCTTATTGGTTTTGTTGGTCCGAACCATCGGGTAATGAGATGCCTAAAATAACAACGAAATTGTTTACAGATTAGCGTAATTAACGGAGATGTTGTTGAGTAGATGAACGAACGATTTTACGAGAGATTAAAAAAAGGAATAAGAGGATGGTCTAAAGCAAAGAAAATCGTTTTAATTAAGGAGCTCTCGGTGATTACATTATCATAATCGGAGAATTAAATACTGTATTAATATAAAAAATAATCCATTATATTTCGTGGACCGATTGACTAAATAACTTCTTTCAATTAATTGATCTTTATGTAAAGCTAGTGTCACAAGCGGGATTCGAACCGACGAACTTCGGTTAAATACGCCGCTGTTCTACCACAGGACTATCGTGACTTCGATCCTCTCGGACAACAACTTCCCATCTGAACCTACCTTTTGAATTTTCCCTCCTTTTTACCATTTTTCAAATGTCGTGTAATCAGGATTCGATTCCCGGCGACAAATGAAATGGCCACGGAGAGCTTTAATAAGATATATGTAATTAAGATATACTTCGTTTTATTTATTAACACCATTATATTTCGTGGTCCGATTGATCAAATAACTTCTTTAATTTAATTAATCTTCATGTAAGGTATTGGTTGAAATAGAGAGGTTCGAAGTCGAAGTGGTTCGAATCCCGCTCGTGACACTGATTTTTTTATCTCAACCAATACCTCAGCCAATATTAAGATTAATAATAAAGTTTATGAAACGAAAGTAGAGTATTCGTAGGGTCTCCATTATCCCCACTTTGGCCGAAATATTTATGGCTAACTTTGAAAAAAGTCTTTTCAAATAAAATATGTTATTAAATTATAAAATTAATTAAATATGTCCTTTTTTGGAAACTCTATGACGATGCTATTTTATGCATATGGTCGGGAACATTAGAGGATCTCAAAGAATTCCTCCAACTAATTAATTCTCTACACCGTATTATAAATTTTATATTTGAAATAAATAAAGGTGGTTGTTTAAACTTTTTAGACTTAAAACTGTCCATAATAAAAAACCTAATTGAAAGAGACATATATAGAAAACCCACAACTACAAACAGCATGATACTAGTAGATTCTTCTCACCCATGGACCCAAAAAGCAGCTGGATACGTTTGGCTACACATATGTGTTCTTTAGTTGTTGTTTAGTTTTATAGTGAACTATGTTTTATATTGAAACATTTCAGTTCATATTTAAGTTTATAAGAGTGAGGACCTGCGAAATTAAATAAGTCCAAACTACATTTTCGTCCAACTTAGTTGTTCGAACTAACAACTTGTCCTTTCAGGACTTTATTGTAAGTCGAAATAAAAGCGCTTGTTACACGTTGGCATAGATTTTAATGGAAAATATTTCGAATAAATTTGCTTTATTTTCTAAAAATTAAAAATGGTTTTGACAGTCTTTTTAAAACCTGCATTATTTTTGCACCAGCCCAATAATTACAGACAACCCAATAAACTGGCAGACTTTTATTGTTTTTGCTGTTAATTTTTTTTACTTCAAAAGTGATATCTTTTATGAAGGCACGTTTTTCTACATAGTTACAAATGGTAAACCTGTCAAACACAAAAGGTCAAGGCAAAAAATCAAAAGTAGACTGCCAATCGGCCGTAAAAAAGTAGGTGCCGTCGTTCGAAATAAGTCAAAACCGGTCAAGTATCAGCAACAATAGTGAGCAAAGGGTGGCAGAAAGGGGCCAGATGTGTTTGGGGAAGATAGGCCGAGGTCAGATTTCACGTCTCTTTAACGTTTAGGTTTTCCGAGGCAATGGGCGGCCAATTATCCCGGTCGTTCGGGCGTGAAATGAGGGTGTCAATACAGGGAGAATACTGTGCCAGAATGGAATCCGCAACAGCAGCAGCAGGATAGCCGACCCCCCGCTAGATCAACAATCCCTTGTTTGCTCTTACACGCGCCATCTGTAATACATCCGATTTTAAAGAAACAATTCAACGAAATGAAAACAATTACAAAAACATGTAAACTATATGTGAAGAGCGCTTAAATGATATAAAACATAAAACAACAATCTGAGAAGTCGTTTTGGATAACCATTCTTGCAAAATTTCTTATTGAAGTCTACGAGATGATGAACCATGATCATACTTCCTTCTTGAACTCTTCGAGTTATTGACGAGGTGATAAACATTGACCATTGCTATGATATTTCCTCATGAGTTCATTCCTTTTCTTTCCTTATTTTCCGTTTCCTTATTCATGATTATGAATTAAATCCATTAGAGTTCGTGGTCCGATTGACCGAATAACTTTTTTCAATTAATTAATCTTTACGTAAGGCATTGGTTAAGATAAAAGGGGGGGGGAATTCGAAAGGTGGGGTTGAGATGGGAAGTTAGTGTCCGAGTGGATCGAAGTCACGATAACTCAAGTGGTAGAGCAGCGGCGTATTTAGCCGAAGATCGTGGGTTCGAATCTCGCTCTTGACACTGACTTTTTTTATCTCAACCAATGCCTTACATAAAGATTAATTAATATTCTAATGGATCTTCTTCTTTCTATTTCTATAATTCTATATTTTGTGTTTTCCACCATCCTGGTCTTTCTTCGTTGCTTGGTATCTCAAAAGCTTTTCAAAATTTTCGCTATTCTCAGTGGTTGCTCTGGGTTTTATTTAAAATAATATATTGGGAATGGTAATAAGTATTTAAGAAAAACCACAGATCGATCAGGTTGGTCTTGAGTATCAACGGTTCACCAAAGACTGTCATCAAATCAACTCAAAACTTCCGTACATAAACTATTCCTGTGACGTGGTATATTTATAAAATACTGCCATTATTGTGCATAAAATTGCGTTGTCATAGTCAGAATGTACCAAATTTTATTGCCGAGGTGGGTGTTCTTCGATTATTACACAGTATTCGCCGTGTCAGCTTTTCTGGGTTCGAAACCTCTCGTTTTTCTTGCAATTTTCCGCATGACAAATATTGTTAAGTAGTAGTATAATCTAGCAGTTGCACTTAAACTCTATTTTGCAAGAATTACTCTATTTTACTATGAAAGTTACGATTCCGTATAAAAGAACCACAGAAAAACATTCTAAAGATAATGTTAATAAAAACTTTTTTGGTAATTTTATAAAGTTAAATGGTTATCTAGTTATGATTGATTGAAGCACAACAGTAAGCCGGTTGAGTTTCTGAGTTACATATCTTAATAATTTTTGACCGTGTATCTCGTATATTTATGCTACCTTTGAAAGCTCATCTTCCTAAATCGTCTCTTTATTCTCGGTGTAATTTTTAACCTTCTAACTTTTGATTAAAGAGCGAAATGGAAGGGTTCGTGACAAATCCGGTAATTACCTGGTATGAACTCTATTCTTCACATATTATTTAAATGTCCCTAATGAAAAGTTTCAGTTGCAGCCCCGAGTCGGAAGTCGGCCTAGGAGGATTCGGATCATGCGGAGCGCCGACCGGAAGCTACCTCAAGTCGCAGCCATACCCGGGGACGATAGCCCTCATGGATTCGATCCATTCGTCTATGGGATATCCTAGTGAGTAGATTTCGCCCTTTATTTATTAATCTAACGACCCGGATCGACTTATTTTCCTCTCGTCCAACTGATTTAGGTATGAACCCTAGAAAGCAAAGGAGGGAGCGGACGACCTTCACCAGAGCTCAACTAGACGTACTCGAAGCGTTATTCGCCAAGACCAGGTACCCGGACATATTCATGAGGGAAGAAGTCGCCCTGAAAATCAACCTACCGGAATCTCGAGTTCAGGTCAGTCCCACAAATAACAATTCTTTATATAAAAGGAATGTGCAAATATTCTAACACCAAAGGAAAAGATACGACATGTAAAGCAATAATGTTTATAATAATCCTTATACTTAGGTTTTTACTGTCTTGATATACATTCGTAATATTCTTTAGAGATATAAATTCATTATCTGACCTCTAAGGAATTCTGACACCAAAAATTTCATTCATCCGAATTCTTTTCCGAATTTGAAGTCCAGATATTTTTACAACTTTATTTTATAATTTGAATTAGCTTAGCAGATTGTATAGGGGTTATGGGGAGGCAGGAATTTGCTTTTTCAAATTGAAAAAATATTACTTTTTAAAAAGTTTAGTTAAAGTTATATCATCCTACCAACACTATATCAACTGCAAATTTAAAAGATTAATATTTTAAAAACTATTATATATTGTCTTGATATACATTCGTAACATTCTTTAGAAAAAATCGTATTTCTTTTTTTAATAAATCAATTTTGTCTCAATCTCTCTCTTCCCGTAACTCTCCACTTCTCTCTCTCACTCACTCTCTCTCGCTTTGTCTCTCTCTCTCTCTCTCTCTCTGTCTCTCTCTGTCTCTCTCTGTCTCTCTCTGTCTCTCTCTCTCTCTGTCTCTCTCTCTCTCTCTCTCTCTCTCTCTATCTATGTCTTTCTCTCTCTGTCTCTCTCTCTGTCTCTCTCTCTCTCTCTCTCTCTCTCTCTCTCTCTCTCTCTCTCCCTCTCTTTCTCGCTCTCTCTCTCTCAATGTATCTATCGATCTATACCTCTATCTATCTACCAATCTATCTCTATCTGTATTTATCTCTCTCTCCCTCCCCCCCCCTCTCTCTCTCTCTCTCTCTCTTTCTCGCTCTCTCTCTCTCTCAATGTATCTATCGATCTATATCTCAATCTATCTACCAATCTATCTCTATCTGTATTTATCTCTCTCTCACTCCCTCTCTTTCTCTCTCTCTCAATATATCTATCTACCTATCTATCTCTATCTGTATTTATATCTTATAACAACAAATTATGTCCAGGCTCTCCCCTCCATGTTGGAGGCAGGAAAGCGAGAACGGATAGTTCAGTCTAGCCTAGGCATTCGAAGAAAAACAATAAGAAAAATAATCCAGTTAAAAGCCTGTCAAATCAGATTTGTATACACTTTGATTTTTATTAATATAAATTATTTCTGTTGTGTGGTTCATTTTCATTTATGGTTTTTTTGTTTGGTATTTTCCATTTTGGTTATCAAGGTTGTTCATTTTAATTTTGCCCCTCAGGCCCATATTATTCCCATAGTATCTTATTATTCTTATATTGTTAGTTTGTAAGTAAAGGTTCATGTTTTGTTGTTTTATATTTTTTATATAACCTATCTTGATTCGTAAGGAAATACATTTTTAGTTTTAAAGGAAACAAAATAGGGGTGTCCCTCTGCAATTGTGTTCATAAGTTATTTCAAATCAAAGTTCCTTTGATTTTGAGGCAGATCACCGGCCTCAAGGGGGTTAATCAAACCTTAAAAGACGGAATATACTCATTCCTTAAAAGACCCACAATAAATAGGTAAAGCACGCGCAGTGGAAGCGTGCTGGGCACATAACCCAGAGGTCCGTGGATCGAACCACGCTCTGCTACCACTATTTATTGTGGGTCCTTTAAGGAATGAGTATATTCCGTCTTTTAAGGCTTGATTAACTCCCTTGAGGCCGGTGATCTGCCTCAAAAATCAAAGGAATTTTGATTTGAAATAATCTCTAACGATATCTCTCTCACTATATCTCTCTTTCTCTCTATCTATTTCTCTCTCTCTCTCTCTCTCTCTCTCTCTCTCTCTCTCTCTCTCTCTCTCTCTCTCTCTCTCTCAATGTATCTATCGATCTATATCTCTATCTATCTCTCTCTCTCTTTCTCTTTCTCTTTCTCGCTCTCTCTCTCAATGTATCTATCGATCTATATCTCTATCTATCTACCGATCTATCTCTGTATCTCTCTCTCTCTCTCTCTCTATTTCTCTCTCTCTCTCTCTCTCTCTCTCTCTCTCTCTCTCTCTCTCTCTCTCTCTCTCTCTCTCTCAATGTATCTATCGATCTATATCTCTATCTATCTACTCTCTCTCTCTCTCTCTCTCTCTCTCTCTCTCTCTCTCTCTCTCTCTCTCTCTATCGATCTATATCTCTATCTATCTACCTATCTATCTCTATCTTTATTTATATCTCTATCTTTCTATCTCTATCTCAATCTCTATCTCTCTCTCTCTCTCTCTCTCTTTCTTTCTTTCTCTATATATCTATATATCTATTTGTCTCTCTCTACTCTCTCTCTATCTAGCTAGCTTTCACATTCTACGTATGTATCTAACTTTCTTTCTGTTTGCTTTATGCTATCTCAATCTTAACACAGAGGCTTTTTGTTGCGTGTTCTCTTAACGTGGCAAGTACGAGAGTCGAGCGCACAATCTCATTTAGGCATTTTCTACACTCTCGAGTGTCGAATACACCCAACACAAACCAAATTTAACGTATATGGAGCATGTTTCACCTTGACTGAAAAGTCACACTTGTATTCTAACTTACGTGTGCATAATGCCCATCATTATGTTGTAATTACTCTTTCTCTCCAAATGGCCATCATCCTTGATAGAAATAAATCGCATTTTATTCAGATTCACAAAGCATATTTCGCGTTTTAGTGGAATGCAATTATTAGTGAGAATGGATAAAGGGATACAAGCCATAAACGATCATTTTATTTTACTGTTCAAGATAGAATTTCAGCAAATTTAAGCCGTTAAGATTTTTGATAAGCAGACAATGAATATAGGAACAGAAAGGAATGAGTCAGTTAAAAGTATAATCATTCAGATATCGTGAGATGCGGTCTGGTGTGATGTAGGTTTCAGAAAAACATTTTCTTTATCCTGCCAACGTTTCGATCTTTATTGAGATCATCTTCAGGGCCTGGGATTTACAAACGTTGTTTACATTTAACAAATACATTTAGGAAGTGGAAAAATGAATTTATACAATGCAAAATATATTCTATATTCAATCAAAGCATTTCTACTCACTCAAAGTGTTTGTCTTCTGTGTAATTGTGCTATTCTTGAGTGTCGTGTTGAGAGTGCCAGTGAGATTTTGCTGTTCACTTCACACTTCACTTCAAATTCACTTTTCCACTTCCTAAATGTATTTGTTAAATGTAAACAATGTTTGTAAATCCCAGGCCTTGAAGATGATCTCAATAAAGATCGAAACGTTGGCGCGATAAAGAAAATGTTTTTCTGAAGCCTACATCACACCAGACCGCATCTCACGATTTCTGAATAATTATTAATTATTCCGTTGGCACCATAAAGAAAATGTTTTTCTGAAGCCTACATCACACCAGACCGCATCTCACGATATCTGAATAATTATCGATTAACGGTCACTAATCTCTACACATAAAAGTATAATAAAGGATGTAAAAGTTTAGTGGTCAGGGATGATTTTAGGTTGATAGAGTCCTCTCCCGTTTATTTTATTACAAAAGTCAAACAATCAAAAGCTGTTAGATTGTTTTGAGGCATGTTATCACATGATTAACGTTTTGAATTCCATTGGCTGAAAACGCCGAGGGGTGATTATGAAAATAAGAACGAGCTCGACGTCAATAAATTCATAAAACACCCTTCTCACCCCCTGGGGATAATATATCTTCCCGTTATTCATTCGGTTATTATAACTATGGATAAAGAAGTTCTTTCTGCAGCTGTGTAGCGCCCCCTCCATTTTCATATCCGAGCGGCGGTTTCGTCGTCGTCAAAGCTCCCCTCCGTTTCTGATTAATGTCTTTATCCCTGGACTCGAGTGGTTATCACGCCCTAGGCTGTACCCATAATTGGACCAATCCCATTTATTTGTTCTCATACATGCGGGTGTATTTCACGCCCGGGGTACTATCTCAGTCATACACTCACCCTCCGCCACGGCTGTCATTTTCCCTCCTATCTCCATTCCCTCAGCTAAAGACGATCAAAATTTCAAAATTCCGCTTACCATTCGTTCTAATTGGGGAGAGCACGTTTACATCTCTTTGATATCAAATATCGCTATTTATGAACGATCTCTTTTAAACCGTAAAACCTTTTTTTCTTCATAGATAAAGTTTTCCACCAGGTACCAAGTGTCCAACTAACACCTCGTATATAATACTGTGGATATAGTCCTGTTCTAGAAACCTAATCTTTTCTACTTCTAACCTAGATTAACAATTTTCCAAAATTATAATTCTCTTACAAAAGATAAAACTTTTACAGTCAAGTAGTTTGGTCGTTTTCAACCATTTCGGTCTGCCTGCGCTCTTTTGCTCTAGCAGTCGCATGCCTTTTATGGTGTTGGTTATATGTATTTGGTCTCGTCTCACAGTTTTAATAAATACACTTCAAACCTGTCTGTTCTATTATCATTATTAATACAATTAAAATGTGAACTACCAAATTAATTGGCTAAATATTTATAAACAAATAACATATTTATTTTTTGTAAGTTTTGTTTGTAAGCTAGTGGAACAAATTAACAATAAATACTACAATTTGCAATATGCGTTGATACCAAGAATTGGGCCGTCTCGGCAAACCGGTGGTTTTTGTCTGGGTACTCGGACCCCTAAGCATGAAGGGTAATCAAAAAGCGGACGAGGCGCTAAGTCCCAACCTACCAACTTAACCGCCGCGATTCGGCCCTCTGGTGCTAAAAACGCATTTAAAAAAATATTAAAAGAAAGTGGCAGCGTCAGTGGGCAGGATCAGTTGAGAAGCTCTCCAGTAACCAAAGCATTGTCGAAGAATCTGACTCGTAGACGAGGGGTCATCCTCATCCGATTAAGGATACGCCCTGCGAGGTTGACACACACTTACTTTTAAGCCAAAGCCCGCACATTTCCAGCATGTAGAAAAAGGTTGCTCTAAGTATACCATCTAATTGAAGGGAGCAACTCTTTAGCTTCATTAA